GCTTTTTCATCCTCGTGCTAATGATTATCTCAGAAGTGCGAAACAGGCTTCAAGGGCAGTACTCGGTTGCAACACAAGCATAGGCATGAACATAACAAGCTAATGTGCAGGTGGGCTCAGCTGCAACATAAACATGAGCACAAGCGCTCAGTCGCTGTTATGTTAAATAGGGACATGGCTGGTATAAGCAGTATAGTGCTTGCTGATTGCCTGAAAGTCTTTCGCTTATGTTTATCCTTACGCTTATGCCAATCAAGTCTTAACTAGACAGTATAAGCATAAAAAGAAGGCAACGTTTTGATAATCTTATGCATATATGCTTATCCTTCAATGTCCGTGCGTTCCATCCAGAGCATAAGATTTTACAGGCCTATCCCTATGCTTGCATCGCAAGTAAATACTGAGCTCAATAATGTTTTAAAGGTTTTATGCACTGAAGGGCTATCCTGTATACATATTCGTTACTAGTAATTTCCGGCCGTTTACCCGCGGGTAATCTGTTGATTTGGCCTTAAACACGCGCCACTGTGGGCAATAGGGAGGTGCGGGTTATGCAACAATTGTAAAATCTACTGGTGGTTGAATTGAAGAAAATTCTCACCTATCTGCGTTTCCACCTCTCAGATGAATTTTATTGTATTAAGAGTGCCATAAAGCGGCACGAAAACATGATGCCGAGTCGAGTTTATTTGACGCACAATTAGTTGCGCGACAAACAAATTACTATCGGCACGCGTGTAAACAAAACTTTGATGGTCACAAAAATAAACCGAGGATAACCGGCGCATCAGTAACAAATTTCCAGTTAACACTAGCCTCAGCTGAAGAGAATTTTCCCGTTTTAAGGGGCTTGTTAGGCCCAGCAGAACCAGAGATATCGATTTTTTTGAGAAATAAACATGACGCTGAACGATCGTTCGCACAAAATGTGGCCACGAATTCGCATTCTGTCAAGTATGCAACGTTGCGAATTGTAGAGCACAGTTGTTCAAATGTCCTTTGCTTTTCAGGTGCGGGTTATCCACCAGTGCGGGTAATCTGTTGACTTTTTCGCTGCATGCAATAATCGGCCGTGCGGGTAAACGGCCGGAAATTACAGTATTACTATTATTATTATTATTATTATTATTATTATTATTATTATCATTATTACTATTATAATTATTATTTATTATTATTATTTACTATTATTATTATGATAAACAAAACAGCACCCTTTTGAACTTTCATTCCACAAAGCTTTACAGAAAAATCTGGAACAGTGATTGTCTTGCACCAAATGCTAGTAATCAGGCCATATTTTCTGTCTTTGAGGCCTAATTTAGTTTCACATCATATTCCTCATAATGCTCATTTACCACTCTAACGATTTATACCTTAGTATTGAAATCAAACACCCATTTCTATTGATGACACAAACTACATTGGCTTATCCAATTCACGAGTTGGCTCACAGAGCCTTCGATTTCGGTTTAGTATTGGTTTCAAAATCGAGGAGCCAAGTCACGAAGAGAAGAGGAAAAGATAGTGTCCACCCTTCAGATAACCTAGTCAAACAAGTTTACAAAGTCATCGCAGACCCCAACCCAGTCTCCTTTAAATTCCCGGAGACAGGCTGACCGTCTTTCTTACCCAGGGCCAGGTAACTGCGATATAAAACTAAATGTATACAAGCGACCAATCTCAGTTGATTATGGACATTCAGCAATCAGGACAGACCACTTCTGTAAGCGTTCGTCGTTTTTATAGCGTCCATATTCCAACCGGACTAGTTCAGAAGAAGACGAGTTGCAGTTAAAAGATCTTTGGACAGCCATGCTTTCTATAGATACCAGCCGCATAGAGGCCAATTTATTGGTGTAAATATTTCCTTTAAGTTGAAATTAAGAAACATTGAGGTATATGTAAAGATAACCAACAATGTTTTGTACAATGTCATGTAGGATTGTCTTGTTGTAAATAAAGAAATCATTTGAAATTTTACCAAGGTTTGTAGGTCGTGGAGTTTCTTTTAATAGTAATTTCAAGTGGAAATTTGCCAAGCTCTTTTGCATTGCTAAAGGTAACTACCTTATTAGAACTAAGTTTCAGCTCCTGGCAATTTCCCTCCAGACGAATAGCGGCCTTGTCAGCGGTTCACCCGTGAGACTTACAAAGTCAACTCGATTCCACGTGTCCAATGAAAGCAACTTTGTTACAGAGCATAGTCTGGGACTTGATGCCCATAACAAAGTGCAAACTCTCTACTCTAAGATGGAATAAATGTTTTACGGGGGGGATTAGTATATGATAACAGGACTTGACAGTACAACTCTGAGTTATTGCACCAGATAAACTGCAGATGAACAGCTCTACATCAATTTTGTTCTGCTATTTCTTAGCAATGAATTGTGGGTCCTGTTTGGGTCTTGAGTTATTTCAACGACAAAGGCATCGTTAGGAAAGTGTCATATTTTTCAGGGCAATTGGAGTTCTGTCCGAAAAAAAAAAACTAAAAACAGTTAATTACGCAATAGTTCAATGTAAAGTCGTGATACATAACTGTGTTTGTCTATGGTCATAAATTCAAAATAGAGCAATTATCATGTTTATCGTTTCAGAAAAGCTATCAAGCCTTGCGAGAGGAAAACTGTCACAGAAATCACTTGTTTTTAGTGTTGTTTTATTTTTTTATTTTTTTGTTCTCGCCCACATATTTGGTAGACTCTTTTTTAAAAATATTGTTCTTCTAGTTTGGTACGAAGCTACCGAACTGTTGTATTATTAGTCTACCTCACTGAAGCAATATGTTATTTAGCGCAATAGACAACAAGAGATTCGAACTCGCAGCACAGATGTCACTTTGAGTAGTACTGACTGGGGCCAGCTTTTGAAGATAACATGGAATAGATTTTTTAAAAACAAACATCATTAATTGAAAATTCAGTACCGGGTAAACGAAATTTGTCTTTACGCGCGAAATGATCTCGTGTTAAGATGTGTACTCATGAATTTTATTGAGAGGTAAATTGTAATAAAAGGTTCAGTGAAATTTTTCAAGGGTGCGACTACAATCAGAGAAGGGATATATTAATAGACCCACAAAATATAATTTTTTTCGGGTACAATAAACGCCATTTGAGAACAGTGAAACCTTGACCATCGTTTATAATGGACTTAATCATGGAAAAAAAAAATATGGAATACCAGAATTTTTCCCCCCAAGTGTCAGGAGTTAAAATGATAATGATAAAGACTTTGTTCAAAGAGAGTACACTAATTAAAGGTAAATTGAATAGATAAGTTTTGTTTTCTGTTATCTTAGAAAATTTTCACTCTTAGAAATTTTGAGTGAATGGTGGAAAACTCTCTTACAGATAATGGTGACATTTTCGTTCACGAACATCTATCTTAGTTTGAGAAGTGAGGGGGGGGGGGTACTGTCCAATTGCAGAATGATACGTAGCGTCTATTAGTTACTCATTGGCTCTGCTCTGATCATATGCAATTGTTTCTTATTCCGTAATGTCACTTTAAGTTCGCCATAAATCTGAGAACTCGCCTTTGTCATTTGCCTACCCGCAAGCTGAATGGGCAGGGGGGAGGGGAGGGGGGGCGGCGGCGGCTTCGGTCCTATCACTCACTCCTCTCTCTCCTCTCTGCTTGATATAGATTCACTTTTTCCGGTAGACATTAATGATTATTTTGGTATAGATCTGTATGATTGTCTTTTTCTTAGTGCTTAGCTTGAAATAGTTTTATTTTTCGGTAGTTGATATCATATGTAGACAAAAAAATCCTTGAAGATTTATAGGATAAAGTCTGCAATCCGTGGGTTGCCAAGGTAATACGATTTTCAGGCTACGATATAAATACTTATAGGTCATTTCACGTTTGGTGAGCGCGTACGATTTTTATTCGCAATGAGTGAATAAAAATCGTACAAGCGAACTAACAGTGAAATAACTTATTTATTATATACATACCGAGATTCATAAGCGAACAGAACTCAAAGATAAACATATCTTTATTTCCTTTCAAAGGAAAGCAACGCGCGGCCAAGCCGCCGTTCGGGAGTTGCACTGAAACGTCTTCCCTGTAAAATACTTCTTTACAATGATCTAAGTTATCAAGCGAAAATGCCGTCAAAAAACAGAACTAGGTAGGATAAATGAAGAAATCCTGAAAATATGTCGAAATAAATTTTTTTTTTGGGAACCGTTATAAGGAACTTGCTGAGAAACTATTTTTTAGTCAAGAGGAGCGGCGAGCTAGCGACACGGTTGTTCACTAGTGAAAATAATGATGTAGCCAATCAGAGCGTCGATACGTCGTTTTTCACAAGTGAAAAAAAAATTCTTATCACCAATAAGCTGGCTCCTCCAGCGCGAAGAGACTATGTTTATCTCGATGCTTTTTGGGGAGTAAATCTCGGTATGTATATAATAAATGAATAATATATAACACTCTTCATTAACCCTTTAGTTACCAGTCGTACAAATTTGTACGATTTTGGCCCTGACAACCATTTTGAATTATTAATATCAGACCTGGTTACTCAGGCAGGAGCTGAGTGTATGATGGGAAAGTTAAATGCTTGGCAATCATTTTGAAATCGTTTTCGAGTAGTTTTAGTGACTTCAACAGCGTTTTTGAAAGGGAAGGAGACATTTGTTGTGTATGTGGCTTTTAAAAATGGCGTCCGGAAGTATTCCTCTAGCTGAGGTGACAAGAAGATGTGTTAGAGGTGTTTCCGATGATGAAAACTCTGATGAAAGTGAAGATGACATTTCAGAATGGAGCGAGGAAAGTGAAGAAGATTTAAATTATGAAGAACAAGAGGCTTCTGGCAGCAGTGAGCACAATTCAGATGCGAGTGAAGGTTAGCATTTCAGTGTTTTTCTTTGAAATTCAAAGAGACTATGTTTATCTCGATGCTTTTTGGCGCGTAAATCTCGGTATGCATATAATAAATGAATAATATATAACACTCTTCATTAAATCATATGATAAACGACACATAACTAGAAGTTTCTTTTGTAATATCATCTTCAATGGATTTATTGACCCTGTTGATAGCGGAAAAACAAATAAAGTTTTAAAAACTATCACAAGGGATAAAACTGCAAAAATTGGAAAACAAAGATATAAACTTACGCTACAATACGCTAATAAGTTTCATCTATGAAAACTTCTTCGCAAGTTATGAGAACATCATTTTGATTTCATTTCAAAGAATGTATAGGATGTAGCTTTCCCCTTGTTATAAAATCCGCTAAGAATCAAATAGTTGTGATACCAATGCAAATTGCCAGGGTGTATTTTCTTAATATCTAAACCAAAAGACTATGGTTGAGTCTATATGTCGTCATTTTTTCTTATTAGCACGTTGTAAAATATTTATCGTAGAAACTACTCCTTCATGTTTTAAAACAGCATCTATTGGCATGGGTAGATGTAAAATTCCATCAATGTAGAATTTAAATACGCGTATAAATCACTGAGTAAGATACAATAAAACTAGATTAAAGGATATTTTGGTTTAACTCCGACAACAGGCGATCTAATTTCTGACTCGTAGAATTTTTAAATCATGGTTTATAAAAGTACACACTAGGAAACAGTTTACGATTGTGTTTCCCTACAGGAATCTATTTAAATTCAGGCAAGGCAAAGTGAACACTCATCATCAATCGTAATCAACGAGGGATATGACTGGGCCAGTTATAAATTGCCTATCATCTCCAAAAACAAACGATCAGACCAAGTCAAAATCACTATACTCTTATGAAGAAAGTTCTACAAAAAATCCACTGGTCTAATTTTTAGTTCAGTTGATGTGGGTGAGCTGCCCTCAGGACTTTTATCTAAGTTTCCCCAGAAGATACTGGCCCTGATTTCCTTCTTACCACGCGGATAAATTCCATTGAGATTTGACCAAACAGCACAATCACTACTGTTACCATACCACCAGCCACCGCCTCTTCTTTGAGGGCAATCGGCAGGATCCCTATCCCAGGTACCAAAAACGAAATCTCTGTGAGGACCGAGGGAATCAGAGAAAACAGTTTCATCTGTTATAAAATAAACAAAAAGAATTTGCTTATTTCAAAAATCAGCATAACACCTAAGAAGCATTAGAGCTGTTGTTTGCCGCAAAAAGCAACAGCAACAACAACAGCAAAAACTGAACAGAACTAAATTTAAACAGTGGGAAGATGCTGTTTCAATGAATCTATTTCGGTTGGCATACAAGTCACAAATCGTTGTTTTAAGCTCCAATAACGAAGTAGGGTAAAGCATCAAGATTTTGTTCACAGCGTGCAAGTCCGATAAATGATTAAGTTTTTAAATTTTGCTCAAGCCGAGTTCATTAACTGTTTTCTTTATATATTTTGGGCTTTGGTGATGAGAGAGAAGTATTATAAAAAAAAACAAAAAAAAACAAAAAAAAAAAAACACAAACGTTAAAAAGCCTCTCACTGACTTGTTGTAACATTGCCAATGTACAGCTTATACATAGCTGTCTCGTTCCCAATCCCGAACCAGCCATACTCAGCGTGATCAGTTTTTCCAGTGGCTTTTACCAGACCAATTCGCAGTATGTTTTTTGTCTTGTTTGTTGTCAGGCGGTATATCTTGTCCAGTCCGAGCCAAAATTGACCAGTAAAGTTACCGAAGCCATGTTTATAGTCATCCCAGGTACGGTTAAAATCAACAGAGCCATCCACTCTTTTCTGAAACACTACCCACCCCCCACCAGCTGTTGTTTGGTCACAATATACATTAAAGGCACCTGAACCATCTGGGTCGATTGCGTAAACACCGCTGATCCTATGGCCGGATTTGTACAGCTCCGCGCAATTCTTAGCTGTAAAAAAAAAGGAATAAAGATATTTACGAAAATTAATAAGGGGAATCAACAATTATACGAGCGTAGAAAATCTTACCTGGGCATGGCAACCATGTTCTATCACGAGTGTGGTTCTTCTGGCAATCTATTGGGGCTGCACCCATTGATGGTACAATTTGAAAAGTCATGGGAAGTGCCAGAAACAGCGTAGCAAAACCTGAAGTAAAAAATTCATTATACAATAGAACTAATAATAATGATATTAATAATAAGTATAGTAATAACGGTAATAATCATAATAACGGTGATAATAATAATAATGATAATAGATATAGATCCTAGACGACGCTATGGTTAGCCACAGCTTATCGCCCAGCCACGGCTGTAGTTTTGTTTTTATTCTGGGTATCTAGGTCGAGTACAACAACTTAGGATGGGGCGGGAGGATCGTGTTGTTTACATAGAAAATTGAACGCCAATCATCTTCCAACTAGAAACTGACTCACCATTCCTATGGCTGAAGCTAACTTAAAACTGAGTCTGCTCACCACAAGGAAAACTTTAAAATGAAAGGATTGAACAAGCTGATCGAGTTTGGAAATGGAATTGAACAGAACTCAGAAGGAATTTTGCACCAAACATCTAGATTTTACATACCTACTCCTTGTCGTATGCCTCTCATTGTATTTTTGATGGTGCTGTTTGCAATTTTACTCACAAAGGCTGCAAAAAAATAATAATAATAAAAAAAAAATACAAAACCATGTTACGACTTAAAAAAATTCAAGTATCGAAACTCCTCAGAAAAAGTGCATTGGCAAGGACTGATAGGACTTTCGGGTAAGTTCACTTACTTCGCTTATCTAGTCACTCTTACCGCCCACTTTCTTCGTTCTTCGTGAAAGGCGATAAAGCACGAGCGAATTTTCTTAATTATAAAGGCAGAAAAAGGAGATAAACCTATGTTGTTTCAATTTTGTAATAGTTTAGAACATACCCAATTACTTAAAATAGAACTTACGGTAATACGAATTTGATCGCGATTTCCGACACAACGTTTTTGCAAGTTCTAGTTCGCCTTTTGTCAGTCTCGTTTCGATTTCGTGAGAACTTGTACGTTTATATTTTTTCGGGAAAGTGACCTGGCGTCGTTTCGGCTGGTGTTGAGAAATCAGCTAGTCTTGAAAAATAATCTTAAATTATCTGGTTTCGTCGTCTCCTGTTCAACAGGAAATATCTAGCAACCGTAAATACCGTTATCTGATAAATATGTGGCGTGAGTCTGTACACTGACCTCTTCCGGTTCGACCCTTCAGATTGTCAAATCTTTCTTGTTCCCTATCCGAAAAGGCGCGAATTTTTGCCTTTGAGCGTACTGTTAAACTGCTTATTGTCTTATCTAGTCTTTGGTAAATCATGTTCAGAGAGACCATGCACATGATTAAAATTAAGCAAAAAAATATTTTATGATTCAGCTTTATTTTCAAACGTTAGAAGAGAAGCGTGACGGTTTGTAGGACAGACACCGCACTTCCGTGTCGGGGAAAGAAGACATTCTTAACTAGAGAGGGGACAACCTGACAACCCAAGGAGTGCGCAGTCATGAGAACTGCATAGGGTGTAGGGGAACGAGTTGGGATAGGTTTAGATTTTATATAATTATGGGATTTGTGTTAAATCTGTTATGGTAATTGATCGAGGCGTAGTTCCGGCTGTTCTTGAGAGTCACAAAAAAAGGTTAAATGAAGATAATAGCTCTTATTACATATTTTGAAGTAGTCGACGCAGAAAAGATAAGAGGCCTAAAAGCGATAGATTTTCCTTCGTCGGTTCCGTTAATATTTGTGAAAATTGCAATGCAATGTATTTCTTCTAATATAGTACGTTGCTGCAATGGAAAGGAGCGATATCTGGGTCCTGTCAATGAAATTCGACCCTGATAAATCTTATTTGGTATTATAAAATTATACCAGGTTAAAATCTCTTAAATGTGGGATGACAAGCAATGACGGTGTTTTCGCGATCGAGTTTTAAACCCTTAAACTCCCAGAAGTTACTGACATATAACTTCGCCCTATTATATCCCTACATCATGCTGCAAACAGGTAATGAGAATACTCAAACTTATCAGGTAGAAGTTGTTATCTTGATCAAACATCAAATTCTCGTACCTAATCTACAAGAATATGTGTAGCAGCTAGAGTTGAGAATTAACATTCAGATCCTGGAAGTAATGGGGTTAAGTGGGGTTAATGACTGATATCCGTAATCTCTTCAAAGCAGTCGCTTTTCCGACTTGTTTAAAGGCAAGCGAGTTGGTAACCTTCAACGCAAGTTCAGGGAAGCCAACCTCTGGAAGATTTTTTGTTTAACGCCAGCCCTCTAAATCGACGGTACTTGATTTTATGCACTACCCCTTGTAATACCTTTATGGTATCAACCTCCCCCGACAGTGAGATTGAAAAGAAATCGTTTGAATCAAGTGCAATTGTAATTAATTTAAATTGAGGTCGTTCTCTTTTGATCCCTTCCGTGGAGAAAAGTAATGACATATCTACGTTCCACGACCTCAGAAGCTTTCTTTCTTTAAATCATTCAACGGCGTCGCACTTAAGTATAATTCCTCTCTTTCGACCTTGCAAATGCAACATGCTAAATGCCAACATCATTTGCATCTGTCGCCATAAGTCCGACAAATTGATTTCATTGAGTGCGTGCTCCTCTAAAGAGCTATGATTTCATCTGACGAATTGAAAATACCGCCGCAGATTATTTTACCGATTAATTCAATTAGCTCATACAATTACAATAAACAGCAAAAGATTTACAACTAATTTACATTCTTGACCTCGGCGCCATGAAGCGGATGTCATAAATAAGCTCTCTGATGATCCTAAGTGTCAATCTAGAGAGATGTCGTCTTTTTTAATTTGTTGTAAAGTTAAGCATAGCGTGACAAAGCGTGACAAACAATTCTAAAGTAAGCTTTGATTACATAATTACAACCGGAAATATAATTCATGTGTAACCCTTTGTTAGAGTATTCGTGAAAATATTCCTACTACGTGTCGCATAGAATATGGAAACTTGTACCTGTTTTCCGTCTAAAAACACGTAGGAACACTAGTTCCGCAGGATCCACGAAAGTGTCCTCCGAAATCTGTGAATTTGCGGATACGTGGTAATTAAGTAGTTTATTCCAAGGGAAACTCGTTTTATCTTCTGAAATTTTTTATCACGTATGGTTTAGCTACCAATATGTATATAAGAACGTTGATTCAAGCAATAAAGTAGATTCAGTTGATTGTAAAGCAGTTGAGTGTCGTGCACCCCGTGTGCGAGCTCGCGTTAAACCCAACGTTTGCCTAAGCATCGAAACAGCTCGACGCTAACCGACCCTCCGCCGAAATTATACTACAAATTGTTTCAAAGGAAACCTTACTCCAAACCATTATATTTCATATTCCATGTTATCTGATTGTATATTTCGTGACATGGCATACTCCTTCATGTATTAGAGTGGAGTAGAGTATAAGAGTCCATAACATGCCATGGACTGTAATTCTATGTAATACATATTGTAATTCTATTGGACCATAATTCTATTGTAATACATATCAAGGCTGCGGTAAAAAATAATAATAATAACAACAACAAACAAGCTGTCAAATCGTGGGGGTACGAAATTCTTATTGCACGAGACAGAGCTCAACGCTTTGATTTTATCCAGAATGTCCAAGATTGCGGCCAAAAACAGTCGTGCAAAAATTTACATGTCCACTATCAAACTTGCGCGGAAAGCTAACGATTTTTGGTTAGACCAGACAATCCACCTTTTGAGGAAGTGGAAATGGACAATCTAAACTAGAAAACAACAAATTTTAAGGGCCCACATTCAATTTGTTTGAAGATGTGCAAGTTCGTGAGAACTACGTAAGTGCACTGCAAGAATTTGGGATAGGTTATCAACCTCAGTCTCATGATCCTTGATTAAATGGTGAAAGTATCAGCTAATTAATCTTCAGAGCTACGAATCAAAATAAAATTATCACTTTTTCCTGGTGTTTCACACGTAAGGCTAGTAATTGCATTAAGTGTAGTACATCATTGGCCTCCAAGTGATAGATTTCCCTACGTTAGATGTGTGAATGGCAATGAATGTTACAAAGCAATTGGAATGACGTTGACAAATTCACTCTGAAGTGCTAAAAAGTAATGGATAAAACAGCAGCATGGCTACTGGTTATGAATAAGTGATTGGGGCACGCCTACTTACAGACGACACAAACTCATTCTATCAACCAAAATCGTTGCTCTTTCCTAGTCACTAATATTCACGCAAGGAACCTTTGGTGCAATACGCTCAGAAATCTCAAAAAGTTATACCTCGGTACATATATATTTTCACTGCCTAGTGAGCAAACGGTTTGGAAGCATTTCGCACCATTAATATTAATGAAAGAAATGAAATCAGGAAAGTCTAAAATCGACTTTACTGCTTAAATATAAAAGAAATCAAAGACAGATATTCCAAACTCTCCAAAAGAAAGAATTTGTTTTCTATATAACTAGAGAAAATCAACAAAAAAAAAATATTKGSMRWTTTYCSG